AATTACTTTCCTTCTTCTGCTCATTTAACTCTGGGCACTTATATTTTTCCTCATAATTCATGTTAATTCAATACAAATCGGCGTTCAATAAAGTTTATCCCTTTCTCCACAAGAAAAAAAAACGAAATATTATGCTGGCATCGCTTCGAAGAAGATTTACCATGTTGAAAAAAATGAGAGTGCAGTCAAGATGCATCAGCTACGCTATAAAAATCTTATCACAATATTGATTCTTTTTAAAAAATATCACAATTTTATGGTAATCCAAAGCATTTTTGGGTAACTCTTGATAAAAATATGAAAATGCACTGACTAATCTGACACTATGCACGCACACTATTTTGTACAGCTTTCATATCAACTAAAGCACCTTTTAGTTGCGTATAAATATCAGCATAAACGTAAATTAGGCAACTGAACCATTGGCTAGTTGTAACCATTTTGACGTAAGAATCCAGTTTCGTTATTTTTTGTGATCGATCGAAAGTGTAAGTTTCGAAGTACGAAGGATTAGTACATAGTGAAATTCATGAAAAGACGTATTCTAATTCGTCATTATGTTGACGGCTGACTGCAAGCAGTATGAGACGAGAAAAATGGTTCGCTTGACAGATGTACATAAGTACTAATTTACTAGATCTGACTGAAAATTTTCGAATATTTTCATTTGGAAAACGAAAAACGTTTGAAAATAGAATATAATTCGAATACAATCATCATTATTTAGTGAATTATTTGATCAGAATATTTCAAATATGTTTCAACTCAGAGAAGTAATACCACTTGTTTCGTTCAGGTAATTTTGGTGAAGTTAACAGCGATTAGAACTGCTAGGTAATTCAACGATGCACAACACGATTTTAAGGAAATTGCAGCCACTAAAACTGCAAAGCACGCGCGAACGAACCATCTAAAGACAATTCTTGATTGGGCGCAACGCCAATGTAGAACGCTCGCTGCAAGGCGACGCGATTAACGTACATCATCACATCACAGAGACAGCAGACGTGCTTCTAAGCAACTGTGCATAGAGCAGTATGCATGATGGTAATGTGACTGATGGTGTCGTGACTGATGATGCACACGCTGCTGGTGAATGTTTCTTTTGCGATTCTTCGCATCCAATAATTCGATTTCTTGAAGCCGAATGCAAAGAGTGAACTAAGCCGAGTCGATGCTAAACGCATAACGAAATGAAAAACAATCACACCGTTTTATGAAAGTGATCAATGATTAGAATCGTATCTGATATTTCATATCGAGAAATTTCATAACTCCACTTATTCACAATGCTTCATTAAAAATACATTGTCTGGAAAGTATGACATTCTCGTACCTTATCCTGATTCAAAATTAGGAGTCCGGATGGTTTTAATACGAGAAACACGAGAACATGAAAGTTGACGATGCGGCGATTCACAATCCTTGAATTACAGATGTTCAGTCGACAACGTTTACCATTTGCCTTTTTGATGTGCTGTGTTAGGAGGTCATGAAATACGAATGACCTACGTGCAAGATAGATTGAAATGTTATCGTGATATCGGACCATTAGAATGATTAACAGGCGAATCATCGAAAGTCGATTAAAGTCACAAATTTCTTTTCAGAGCATATAACATTACTATTGCCAACATCATCATGCGCCTACTTTCAGCAGCATATACAAGTTTATCATTTTATAGTACGGGTATCATTTCATGGTGCAAGCAAGCAACTTCGTGGCTTCATTGAAAAATTTAAGTGAGACGTTCAGTAAGATGCTATAATTGGACAGTTGGTTGCAGATGAATTGAAACTCGGCTGAGTATTGCTATCACTGAAGTGATCAAAACTGAAATTGTAAGTGATGAATCAAGTTCAGAATTATACGACACTAAAGCAAAATAACCTTATTCACTCTCTGTTCATCCGAAGCGAGAATCGGCATTGAATTAATATTGCTGATTTGCAAGCCAACCAAATCTGTTGGGAATTGAACTTGTACGCTGCAACAGATCAATATGCAAAGTAATAAAGGGCAAATTATAATAATTAACATAGAATAACGAGATGCGGATATTTGCATGTGACAACCGTGATAACAATGATAATGAGTGTCCGTTTGAAACGTCTACATAAGGTTTTTTGGTAATAAATTAATGTTTTTGATAATTGAAAGTTGCCTACATTCGATCACGAAACAAAACTGTTTTACCATTTCACATAACCGTTCCATATAATTTTTACAGATGACTTATATCACCATCCAAATAAATCCTTGTCCCTTTGAGTGCTGAGAAAATCAACTGTGAAATAGACCTGATGAATGCTGAACTCATCAAATGGCTAAGAAGAGTCCAATGATCGCTCGCAAGAATCGTCCAAAAACCCAATGCAATGAATCAATCAGCGGTATTTTAAATCAATGATGAATTTCCAGTTGTGAGAGAAATTGTGATTTCAAACTGCATAAGCGGCGGGTCAGTTTAACACGATCTATGGAGCAACTCAACTTGTGCTAAACAGCGATTGCCAGTAGATTGATTTCGAAAATTCAGTTTGCTTGTAAATTTTCAATGTGGTTCCGTTAAGGCAGCTTTCAAAATGAGCAGAATGGCGCAAATTTATTGTATCGCATTTTGTGATAATCGTTATCATTTCTATTTTGAGTACCCTTTCAAACGATACTGGAATGAATGTGTTGCAGATGTGCTGCTTCTTTACGCCGTACCGCACTTCTCCCATCGCCGTGCAATGTTTATCGATTGTCGCGCCGCGCGTCGCTCACTCATTTTGATCGCTTCTTCGTATCCGTTTACATATTCGTTTAGATTATTCCTCAAACAATAATTTCCTCCTCGAAAATTCGAATTGACTGCTTCATATTACGTATTTGCACAGCAAACGCTTGTTCAGACGTCTGCGGCGCTAGTTACTGTGAGTGGAATCTAGTATGAATGCATATTCATTCTCACAATTTTGCGGATCACCGAAGAAAGTATCACCTCAATCAGTGAATAAAAACTACAATACGTACATGAATAACCGACTTTCATCGGGTTTTGATTATGCCTGCTTTGAGATGAAGTCTCGTATGATACTTCTGCTTTTAGGCGATTTCTCTGAAAAGTTCCGTCCATTTTGAACTCAATGCCCACTGACCAAGTACTGTTGAATTAATAATTTTTCATACATTATTTCTAACTTTTCTTAATAGCTACCTACATAAAGGAGGGCAACGTGCAGATCTGTCTGATTTACGTGTTCCTAATCAAATCTTCTAGTTCGTCTTTGTGATAAATATTATGCAGTGATAATCAAATTTAGTTGCTTCTAAATTCCGCTTCTCCTTCGAACTACCTAGAATATAGATGCAAATTTTTGGAAGTAGAATGCCCAAATAAACATTTCAACCATCTATATCATATTTTGGATCAGCTCATCTGTGTTACGATAAATGTGAATGTTCATAACTTATTGTGAAGAGTTAGTTCATTATTGTTGCAGAAGTTACAGTTTTCAACGTCAGTCTTTTATTACGCACGAATCAGCACTGTGAATTAAAAAGTACAAATTGAAATGTTATTTGTACTCATTTCATTAAAAACATGTCAAGCTGGTCTTTCCCCTTTGGAATTTGTCATGCTGTGCCGCAAAAATTTTAAACAGATAAGCTTTTTTTGTTGATGAGATTACCACGGAAATTGTATACGAACAATCAAAGTCGCACTCTTTGTATGGATGCTGTCTATCAATGTATCATCCAAGCTGATTCTTACTTCACTTCAAATTTATCTGATCCGATGTAAAAAGGCCGAAAGGATAATTGGTATCAATGAGTGTCCCTGATCCATTGAAGTCGAGTCTTAGTCTAACTGTCTAAGAGTCACTAATTACCTGAATGAGATCAGCATTCCAAAAGCTTGTTAAGAAATCGCTACTGAAAGTTGCCAAGCCTTCCCGTTTTGCTTGCCAACCACGTGATTATCAATTTGAATTGAATGTAATCTTATTGAATGCAATTGTCTGTCATGAAATTAGAGAACCGTAGAAGTCTTCTATAGAACTCCTTTTTCGAAATTCTTCCTCACATTACCTAAATTAATAGATCGCTCTTGTATGAGCCATGCGTGTGCTGCTGAGTTAAGTGCATACGATATCTTCAACTAGACATTGTTTCATTGAAAAAAGCGAGCATCCACATAGATGTTTCAATTGTTTCGACATCTTCAAGAACACGAGTGGCTATTGATGCGAGCATGGAACAGCGTCCTGGATGAACCGCATGCTGTGCATAGTTCCGAGGTGTCATACAAATGAGTGCAAATTATGAAGTAGCTAAAAGGTTGACGTTTGGTACGAATTAGCGAATGTTTTTTGAATTTAAAATGGGATGCTTGAAGAATTTATGCACAAGAACTTAGCATATTTCCTCCTGATTACTTGTCTTATTTTATAATGTTCATCACTTCATCACATAATCAATAAAACTGACATGCAATGCGCTCAAATATCGCAGATCAGCTGTTTGCTGGAATAGGCACCCGAACATGTCCGCACGCTGTTATTCGCTTTGAACTTCGTCCGTCTCTGAACTCTTGAGTGCACCAATCATTTAAATTTTGTATCGATTTTGTGTGTCAGAATTGAATTCTCAACAGAAGTGTTATCACGAAAATAATGCACAAACTAGCAAAACATAATTAACAACTAGCAAAACATAAAACTTATCTTTAATGCTGAGCCGTATCCTTAGTTCATAGCCTTAGCGTAAACCTAGTTTCTTTCAAATTTATTGCAATGGTGCCCCATGAAGCAAAAAAGGATTCTAGCCAGCTAACGCTTCAGTGGCACTGTGGTAAGGAGAAAGTCGTTTGTAAGATTCGTAAATGGATTTTGATGTTGAAATTGATGCAATCACGCGTCTAAAATTAGTATGTGACGGAGGTTTGCATATTCGCAGTCGACTGAATATTAATAGCGGAAATGTAATCCTGATAGATTTGTTTATTGAAGAAATGGTAGCTACTTGGAATGACGACGCAAGATTGATGTTAATTGATGAAATGCATAAAAGATCCGAAATGTGGGATTCGCGACGGGTATGCATGATTGTGTGAAGTTTGTTCATCGGTAAAGTTGAACCTCGTATCTTTTGCTGGTTGAAATTCGACATTTCGGACTGACTCAGTATACTGACCAAAGTTCTCTTATATACTGGAACATTGATTTTTGATAGAATGCTGATGAAGCATTCGTTCAGAGAAAAAGGGTTGTAAGAATGTATTGTTACCATATTATCAGTTAAGGAGCGTCACGCATCAATTGATCGTAAGAGGGAAGTGTTTTGCGAGATAGCTGCGACGATCAATGCATCTGGAGCGTGTGCAACGCAAGTGTTCACAGGTTTACCTCTTTGCCATCATGAGTACTTCGCATTCTGTATGCGTATCATGCAGCATCATTTAACGAATATGGTTAACACTCTATCCAACTAATTGCTCGTTTCATTCTTGCGCATAATTAACTGAACCTTTCTGTTGTTTTTTAGTAATACTTTAGACATGATGATGCTAGAGCCCGAATTTGAAGTATTCCTGCATTGGCTTCGTTTCGAGTAACCTGATTATTCGTGCGTTTAATACAATTTCTAGAAGATGATGTGCGCACACAGTGGAAAAATTTAAAGGATACGTTTAAAAGAAAGTCAAAAAAACGTCAAGCTGATGTGAACGCTGGAATTGAAGATACACAGCCAACATGGCGATTTTGGTCAAAAATGTCATTCATTAAAAGTGAATACAATCATGACGTATCGAATGCCTCTCCAATAAATGTATCTGTGAAAACGGAAAATTCATTTCTCGAAATGTATCGAATTCATTTATTTATTATCATTTTGCCACTGTCATTCAGTTCGAGTTATATTTCAGTTGTTATCTTCTTATATATCAAATATTTCACAAAAAATACAACACTGAACAATGTATTCACTCATTCGTTTTCCGTTCCTTTAATTCTTAAGTTTCAGGACAGCAGCTACAGCAGTAGATACACCGCCGCATTCCTTTGAATCACTGCTCAGTTTAGTCGAAAAACAGATTTCAGACGAGAGTGTCAATAGTGTTGAGTAAAATTTTGCATCATCCAGTTACTCTTTTCATTCGTATTTCATCTTGCTTCGAAAGACAATCGTCAACCTCTGCAGCTGATTCCAAAAATAAATTCTGAAACGATATATAGCGCAATGATATAGCTTTCATCATAGCATGCCTATTTCACAAATAATTTTTGTCGACACATTCATTCATTGATGACTCATTCTGAACTTTGTTGAGTTATAAGTTGAAATGCAACTATTGATTGCTATTCGGTATCTCAATTTCTAGCAGATATTGGTTTATTAGCATTTGAACCATTCAATTAGTTATTTCATGAATATGAGTGGAAAGGTAATTCAGTGCAAATGGAACGAGTGATGATTTGGGTAATGTGCCTCATTCAGTGACCCGAAACGACTTCATGTGCGAGGCCGCTGAAATCACTTCGAATTCATCGATTCACTCACCTCAGCAAACTGATGTTTGTTTTCCCTTTTATCATTTTCCATCATTCACTCCGAAAATTGTTTCAAAAATCATTTTCTGCAAATGTTTCATATTACATCATTTCAGCTGCAAATGATTTTCTAAGAAAAAATTTTCGTTTTGTTTAAATTTAAAACTGCATTCTCATTTCATTACTTCCAATAACCAGTCACATCGCCTCAGCGTTTGATTTTACTGCTATGGGGATATAGATTTGTTGAAGGGCTTAGCTTCACATTCACCAGTACATCCATCGGCAACGGCTGTAACCCGCGTCAAACGAAGAGCATTCAAGAGGAAATCGGTTAATGTTGATGGAATTTCGGATATGTGTGCTGCACAATCGATTTCAGATTTCAAGGATGAATACACTTGGTTCGGTACGGTTTTCGCATAATTTAATTGTTTCATTCAACTTTCATTGTTATTTTTTGATGAATTATTCTCATTTTTTTCTCGATTTGCACGTGTTCGCTAACAGAAAATATTCACAACTACATGAAAATTATCCTCAGAATTCATTTGCCTTTCATGTTTAAGAAGTAATTTTATTGTTTAAAAAGTGCTGCTAATTTACGAACGTGAAATTTTTTTTTTGTGAAAAACAACGTTTTCCTTCTTGACATTTCAGGTCGCACCGTGGCCAGCTCACTTCGACGAATCTCTGTTAATGCACCAATCATGTCGCTAACACTTAAGAAACAAATTTCAGACTTAATTTATGATGCTGAACTGAAACAGCTGATAAATTCACAAAAAAGCGATGAGTCGTAGTCTATTTGTTCTGTTGACAATCGATTTTTATGTTGTATTTTTCTCATTGTATGTATCATTTGGAGAAAATTTCATCATTTAAAAATCAGCTGAAGTGGTATTGAGATAGACAGATATTAAGAATATCCGTTTCGATCGCTTTTGTACAGCATTGAATTTCATCATTCAGAACAGTATCAATTACACCTTTGTACGTATAATAAGGAGTAATTTCATTCCGTTAAACGTTGCTAAAAAGCTGAGTTTATTTATTCGTGTAAACTTCTTACGATATCAGATTATGAAACCTACTTCTGTTTATTACCATTTAGATTTACATTGAATGTATCTCAAAATACCTCTCTTTTCTATTATAGCATCACTGTTACATAAACAATTATCATTAACATTAATGTTACGATGTTCATTACTGTTGTTATCAATTTTGACTTTTCTGCATCCGTTTCATTGGCCTGTAGTTTTGTTACTCGTCAGCTAGAGTAGTCAAAAAATGCGATCACAGAATGAGAAAAGATGAAACGAAACTCAATATTGAAAATGAAAAGTGTTTCATTTCGATCGTTCTCGTAAGAATATCATTTAACTTGATTATTCAGCTTCAGCTTCGTCATCATCCAACGCCAACAATTGATCTATTCTTTTTTTTGTTGAATTAGCCATTTAAGTTATGTTGTTTAATTCGCTCTGCCCACTTCGCTACTTTTCACGCTCTAATTTTGCATCCACATTTTTGTTGACCACAAAATTTTGTGTTAAAGTGAACTTCTTGATTATGTTTGGTATTAATCACATGCCACATTTATCAAAATCAATGTAAATTAGTTTTTGTTCAGTATTTTTGCTTCTCAATTATTTTGAAATTGTGGTATCTTTATCATAATTTATTCTCTCACGTAAAAGCTGTTCATTCAAGTTACATCTTTGTGTTCACTCTAACAATGCATCATTCTGTGCACTCCAAAATCAGAGGTGATCGGTATGTATTGAAATGATTTGCTCCTATCATCTAAACATAATTTCCAATCGAAAAAGCAGCAAGCACCCAAGTAATCACTGCTTGAACAAGCAGTAATGCAAGTGCTCATTAGTTATAGACAGACAGACAGTTGTGACGTAGCCACTAGCTGAAGTGCTCGCTGTAGTCCAAGCTACCAACAACTGCAATAACGTTATGGCATATAGCTCGCACTTTCTGGAGGCTTGTCGAATCAATGTTTATTTATAGTATTGATTTGGTTAACCGAAAAGCGTACACGCTCAGTGGATATGTGCTCTCTTATACTATAGTTTTGAGGAATTTGCTTGAGGTTTTATTCAGCATTAAATGCACGTCAATGTTATCTCAGTCAATTATTGATACTACAATGGAAAGCTCTGTTGATTGATATGAATTCAGTTAATTTTCTTGAAAAGGGACTGCTTCAAAATGGGTTTTTAGTGGTTTGGAAAAGATGGCTCCTACAAGAAATCGACAAAACAGCTCTACACGCTGTTGAGCCTTTAAATTGTTCAACATTCGTAACTTGCTTGCATCACAAAGAAAGGGTAAGATTAGAAGTTGATGAACGGAAAGATGAGATACTATCGATGATACATATCCATTGAACTGTATCAGTCTTTATAATCCATCCAACGGGAATCAATATTGTTGCGGTACGTGCAGATAGATCAGTGGAATGAATGATGGAAAGTGGGCAAAATTCTGAAAACATTACCAAGTGTGCACGCCTCTGCTACGTTTATTTCCATTCACGTTTCATCAGACCAAATAAGTTTTATTTTTCTGTCCATTTTTAACGACGCTTCTTTCTAAACTGTGAGCAGTATTTCTAACTCAAAACGAAAGATCTACTCGTATTTTTCTTCAGTGTGAAATTTTCGACGACCTTTCATTATGAAAAGCTATCAGAGCAGATTGTGTTGTTAAATATCATGTGATGAACGCATCTTCAAACCATTCGAACTTCATCCATTCATTTCATTGTTTGCCTTTGAACTTTTATATCCTTCGATCGCCTATTTCAAATGAATTTGAGTTGCGGAATAATGTTCGTTGAACGCAGGGTTGTCATTAAGTGGCCGTATTGGTGCATTGCAACAAATCTTTGGGAATCGTTCCATACGCATGCATCATTGATAACGTTCCTAAAACAAGAACACATTCTTATCGATTTCAGCCCAAACAAACGACTAATCGTCTCATTCTCGGTATCATCCAAAAAAGCGAAATTGATATATTCACAGTGTTGTCTAAACTCATCTTTTAGCTATCGACCAATCTTGATTATTTGATGTATAAATTTTTCATTACTACCACTAAAAATACATTTGGCATTACGTCAATATTAAGCTTGCATCAAATAACCAACTGTTTGTTCAGCCAAATAAACCAACAATAAAAGAAAGAAAAGTGCTCTAAAATCAGTTCATCGAAATGAATGACACTCAGAGAGCAGTAATCACTCAAAGATCAATAGTGAACACATACTCTATCTGGGTTTGTAAGTAATGCTAATGAGTTTGATTGTGAACTAAGTTTTGATGATGTGCATCCTAAATTCGTTGATTTCTTATTTGCAGAAGTATCATCAATTGTTTCATATGGCATCATTTAATCTTCTGCTGTTGGCTTCATATTACAAATTTGATTTTCTAAAGATAAAAATTCGTTTGAGATTTCATTTTAAGACACTTCAGTTTTTGCGTGAATGATCGGGAAGACAATGATAATAACGGAAAGGTAACTAAATTTTGACGGAGCAATGTTTAGTGATTCGCAAGAATTGCTTATCTTCCTATCGTTGTAGTTCAGTCAACCTTCCCGAGATAATGTAACGTTTTTATTTTGTCTATCCTAATTTTTTACGCTTTTTTCTTGCTCTGTAAAATTCCTTGCTGTTTTTCTGAGTCATTTAAACCATCTCCACCAACACAGTTAGAACAATTTCACTTCTCACCATTCTTTTACTACTTACGCTTTTCTTGACGTTCTATGACCATCATCAACTCCGCACGCTGCTGTTCATTTCGTAATTGGTGAAATGCATTACTTGCATTGCTATCATCTTTATCTAATCGTTTGAATGTTAATTTATCGATAATTTCAGAGTTTTAGTCAACTGTTTTGTTACAAAGCGCGTGTATTTCCGTAATGAGCGCATTTTGCTATCAATTGAGCGTCTTTTAGGTTCTCAATAAACCTGTTGTTCATGATTTTCTCTTCGTACAAAAATTAAATGCATCTCTGTGTGGTAAGATGGTGATCAGTTTTATGCAGCCTAGTTGTTTCACTTGTTGTTCAAATGATATTGAGTCTGTCTTGGACAATTCTTTAATCACATTCCTATTTATTTATAAACACATAACATTATGATTGAGCATAGCACTTTCTAAACAATCATTTATTGCTTATTGATATTCTCATGATTGAACACAGGTGATATTTTGTAGGGAAAATGTTTGTCAATAAAGTGAGTTCAAGTGTATGATATGAACTAATGGTGTAAAGAACTGCAAAGGTACAATGAGAGAACGAACGCATTTACATTCATGTTATTGAACAAAAACCACTTTGAAAGATGTTTAAACTTTATATTTTCGTACAAATTTATAAATCATTTTAAATCGCCACTTTTGTTCAGTAATCTTAATGAAATATCCTCCAATGTCAACGAAACAATAAAATCTGTTTATGACAACTAAAATATGTCATTAAGTCTTGGAATTAAACGTTTTGTTGCTTTAACATTCCAAAAACACCACACTCATTATTTTGTGATTCGTAAGGAATGCGTTTCTATCAAGTTAATTTGAAATAACACACCTGCAATGAAACATTTTTAATTACATATTTACAATTAATCAAATCAACAACTGCTCAGCATATTGTTCCAAAAAATTCGTTAATGGGTAGTGGAAAAATTCAACTGATAAATTTGTGACAACTAACAGTAGGTTTTTTAATCAAATCGAATACGTAATATTGAAAAGTAATCATATATCCATTCGTTTACACTACAGAGAATTCGTTTGACTGTTCCGTTATTGGCTGAAGGAACACTCGATTGATCATGAGAAATGAAATGAAACAAAACTGCACTGTGTGCTGTTCGTTTCACTTTTGGTGTTCAATTTTATTCACTTTTGACTTTCTTATCTTTTCCATCACATTGGTCATTTTGTTTCATCGCAAATGTTCTCTTAAAGCACCAGAATAATTGCTTTTTCAAGTAGTCCTCCATTGAAAATTTAGTTTACGTCATACATTACCACAGAAATGCGCCGTTCCATTGATAAGTTTTCGTAGATCCTTGTCCACATCAAATTCATCGAAAATTTACTCATTTTATCTGGAACTGCTCGTTAAAATCCTTATTCGATTGTTTGATATAATAAGAAGGAATATAATCTCTGAACTCTTCATCGCTGTCCCAAACTCACCATAAATGCATCCATCTGGCTTAAATGCATGTTCATATCATGCGTCCATTTTGAGATATAATATAAGGCGATTTTGTTTCTTTACACTACGATGTATTATTATGTAATAATGCACGACGATTGTGCTTGTTCGATCGCAATAGATTCATTTCTTCAATGAAACAAGGAATTTTTGGTAACAAATCCCTCGGCCATTAGATCAATTTGCTGATTTTCTCCTAATACGGAATGTTAAATAAGAGAAACTTTGAGGTCACATGGGCTGTTGGAGGAGGAAGGAAGTGGTGAACGAGGTCTGTCTGCCATAAGAGAGCACCAATGGTCTATCTATTTACCCAAACGAAATTTCGTTTTACTTGCATCATTTCGTACGATTTACAATCCAGTCTGTTTCTTCGAAGAATGCAACTTTTTATAGGTGTAAATATAGAAGTGGCAATTGCACCTGAATCTTGCGAATATCCAGTTCAGAAACGATGGATAGTACTGGAAATGATGCGATGAAAGCGGCTGACGCAGAAACTAATAAGATGGGTTTTTTAAGTTGTAGCAGTTATGTGATTGGTAATATTATTGGTGCCGGTATCTTTATAACACCCGTTTCGATTGTTAATGAAGTTGGCTCGGTTGGTTTATCGTTGATTATTTGGATAATATCTGGATTGATCGCACTGATTGGTTAGTAATTATTAACTGCATTTCGAAACAGTCGCCTCCTCACACTTAAAGCTGATTTTTATTCATAATCGAAATACGCTATCAAAATAACGAGATAAACGTCAAGTGTATATAATGATGCTGTCTCATTCTGATCGTATCAAATCAAGAATTTTTAACTAAACTACAGCATCGACAATAACTTTCAGCATTCCATGAGGTAGATACAGGTCAAGATGATTTCCAAATCCTCTCTTTTCAGGTTCTATTGTATTCATCGAACTTGGGACTAGTATAGTTGAACCAGGTTGTGATTTCGCATACGTATGCTACGTGAAATGGTATGATCCTTATTTTAAATTAATAAATTCTAATCGTTTGAAAAGAAGACTTATATTTGAAAATTTCAGTCAATTTATATTAGTTTTTCATGCGATCATATTCACCGTTTAGATCATCTTTTTTACATGACACGTTCATTTGCTCGGCAAAAGCGCAGTGCGCTATTCGTGTCTTCCCGAAGATATGTAAGCATTCTTGGTGAGAACGTGATCAAATACACATACACACGACGATTGATGAGTGCTATGAAAGTTCCAACCTCGATCTCGTTTCAGGAATGCGATTGCTTTCGCATTCATGTGGGTCGGTGTTTTCATCACCTTTCCAGCATCCATCGCCGTTCAAGCACAGACTTTCGGCAGGTATATCGTCGAGGGAATCGCACCGTTCGTTAATGTCACTGAACCATACGACGTGGTTTGTAGCACTGCACTTGCGTTCATCTTGCTAGGTTGTGTACTATTCCGGTCAACTTTTCTATTCGGTTCAAAAATAACTTATTGCGGTTTGATTCATTGTATAGAGAAAAACGTAGAGGTCATAGAATATGTAGATCTGCATTAACTGTTTCGTCATTCGCAAAAATCTCATCATGAATGATGCCTTCAGAATCGATTTATTTATTTATGAACCGCTATGAATTTTTCCTCAACCCAGTATCAGCTGAGCATTCCGCACAAAGAATTTCATCAATACTGCCCAGAAATTTCGTTCATCCCTCATATGAAGCAGAATCGTGTTGTGCATGTTGCATTTTACAAGAGTTCATTCATTAATAATCAGTTTTCAGCATTGATTGTTTGGATTAATTTTCAATCATTGGAAGAATTCGCTGCTAAATTTCAAATAATTGTGACTATTGCAAAACTTGGCTCAATGGCACTCGTAATCTGCGCTGGTTTCTATTTGTTGATAGTTGAAGGTAAAATTGTTCATACTGCAAATTACCTGCCTTCATGAATTTACTGTGAATCAGTTAAGTGTGCTGTGAGTCGCAGTAAAAATACGAAGTGCCTGAGAATACTATATGAATATGATTTGAATATTCACATTTGACATTATTTTATCAACAAAAATTATTAATACTTTGAGAAGTAAACAACATGTATTCTGCTAGAAGTTGTTCCGATGGAAGATCGTTGTTTCAATTTTGAATGAAAGTTCCTATCAAACAGGTAAAACATCGAATTTGCAAAATCCTTTCCAAAATACCAATTGGAGTGTCGGTAATATCGTTTTTGGTCTATATGCTGGAGCATGGTCATATGCTGGTTGGGATGTTCTTAATTATGGCACGCCTGAAATTCGTAAGCCTGAGAAGTAAGCTCATTTATTGTGTTATGCATTCACATTCATGATTGAAGGGCATCAGTAAAATGTGGCCGCATCTGCAAATATTAATCATCCAATACAGCAGTGAACACAATTCAAAATTAGTCTTACTGTTAGAGTAATGCTACACTTTCAATGCAACTTCATTGATATGATAAGTGACATTTATTCGTTCTAAACAAATCATGCGAATGAATCTTGCATGCAATTGCTATCAAACGCAATCAGATCGCCATCATTCTCTGCTTCCAGAACAATGCCTCTATCTTTGATAGTTGGTATAGCGGTAGTTTCGTTGGTTTATACTCTTACGAACGTTTCATATTTCGTTGTTCTCAGTGTGGATGAAGTGAAAAATACAACGGCTATTGCAGCGGTACGTTCTTTTGTGACGAATGAATTTCTTGCGTTTGATTTTCTTCAATGGAAGAGGGAATTTCGGCTCTTTCACAAATGATCTCAGCTCATGAGAGGTATTCCAGTTTAATAATTTCAATCAGTTGTTTGTTGATTGAAGTTTGTTACTCAAAGATGGTCTTTTTGTTGGGATATTTCAATATTTATTATGATAGTTCATCGATTCAAAGAACAATATCAACTTTATTTCAGACGTTCAGTCAACGTGCCCTAGGTAATTTCTCTTACATTGTCCCGTTCATGGTGGCCATTTTGATATGTGGAACGCTCAACAGTAATATATTCTGCGGTAGTCGGTTGGCCTACACTTTACTACTTCTTCTGATTGTTGTCTTGTTACCAACTTATTTGGATTTTAGAGACCGTACCTACTCATATCTACTCAGTATCACTTATCTCAACCTTATCTATCTCCTCTTCCATCGATATTCAACAACCATTTTTGAAACAAATCACGTAATTGAAATGACCACGTATCTTTATTTGCAGTTGTATGTATGCGGCGGCCCGTGAAGGCCATTTACCAGCTTTTTTGAGTTGTATAAACCATGAAAATGGAAGTCCTCGAGCAGCATTGCTCGCTCAGGTTGCGCTCGCTTATTTTCATTCTTTATTCAAACATAAGTGTCCCTTAATCTTTCAGAATTATAGGTCTCATCCTTTCTAGGAAGAGATATTTAGCTTTTGAGCGGATATAGTTCGAACGATTGTTCAGTAGATTTATTGTCATGTAAACTCGATCGAATTCAAGACAATTCAGCGGATACATTAGTTCGGATGAATGTTGTGCTAGCAAGCACGAGAACGCTATGTGAAATGATCGATGAAATTCAGGCGATAATAACGGCTGCAATGATGTTCGCTGACAGCGATAAACTGATCGAGTACGTTTCGTTTGTGATGTTCTTTCAACGTATCGTTACGATGATAGCACTCTTGTGGATACGATATAAAAAGATCGCCGTTCATCCTGGTCAGTTTAGCCGTTGCTCTTGAACGCATTCTCTGATCGACTTGTTGCAGTCGACGTTGTTTCGTCACCGTCTTATTTATTACATCAGTTTTTGACATTAGTGCCTTTATACGATGCCAACTGATGACAGGCAAATGCGGTTATGGGCACGCTACTGCAAAAAAAGTAGCTTCACTATTCACTAAACTATTTTTGTTACGTTAACTCCCACTAGTGGCACCGCTGACGAAAAAGTAGCGAAGGCTTTTCACTAAAATTGCCGTTATTGAAAAAGTAGTGGCAGTTTTCCTTAGCATGCTGCTCATTAGAAGTAATCTGCTAATTGCTACTTCCAAATTTTGTAATCGCACTGCTGATTTGTCCGCTAAAAAACTCATCAGGCCATTAAAAATTCAAAAATTTTTATGCAATCATTGAACAGCAAAAAATTTTCTCAACAATAAACACCAATTATCAACATAAGCCAAGTTTAGTCACCAAATTATTGAGAATACTTAATTTTACCATTTTTTGATAGAACTTTTATATTCCCATAGTAGTGTAGTTGATTTGAAATCTATTTTCCGATTGTGCGGAACCCAAATATGAATTGTGAACAGAAGAAATTATGTTCTAAACTAGTAATAGCTATATGAGTGATTCAGTGGTTTCTGAACGGACTTCGAAGTTCAAGGAGTAATACATCTGCAATACAATATTTTCATTGTTACAGTTTTGTGATACTAGATTTATTAACAGATTACAGGGTGTGTTTATATCACCTTGAGAAATACGCCCACCTAATTTCGAATCTGTTCTCCCATTTTGCAAAACCACTTCTGATCAATAATTGCGGTAGGGGAAAGGAGATCAAATACAGAATGAAAACACTCACCCCTGCATATACCACTACTCCATGTAATTCTCGTACATATCCTGTTCTGGTATATACAATCAATTATGAAATAAGATCCGCTTCCATATAACTAGAATCAATTTTAAAACCTGGTCAGGAACGTGTAATATCCATTTATAAATGCAACCTCGCGAAACTGTAGTGATGAAAATTATGCATTGCCATTGTATTATACAAACATGCTGTTGGCGAAGTTCAAACCATATCGAATCAGCCTTCCGGTTCAGCTTCCCAGAAGTATTTCCATGTGCCTTGCGGACATCAGATCTGGTCAACAAATGTACATTAAACCCATATGTTGGTAGCAAGTTATTGCTATTAATTTCCGCTAAATAAAAAAAATAACAAGCTACCGCGCTAATGAATAAAAATAGCTTCGCCAGCAGGGACACAGCGAATAGTGCGCTATTGGCCACTACTGGGCAAATACATTCGAATGTATTCATGAATGAATCGAATTCTTCAATTATGAGTAATGGAAAGTGGTGTTGTAGCATAGACGAATGAAACTTTTGTTACTACGTGAATTTGCACTGATCATCGATTCAATTTAGGAGCAATACGAGTACCAATTATATTGACGTGGCTATTTTTGTTAATAAGTGTTGCACTCGTTGCGATTCCATTGGTGACAAATTTTGTGACAACATTTGTTGGTATATTGATCGTGATTGCTGGTGTTATATTCTATACGACCGTTCTGAAACGCGATTCGATTCCGTCAAAAGTGGAAAAAATCAGTGGTAAGCTTATAGCAACTCATTTTTAACATATGGCGCACATTTGTATTCATATCACCATTAGAATAATTGCAAGTAACGAGGCACTCATTTCCAGATATCATTACAAACATGACAATGAAACTTCTTCACTGTAGAACTGACGTCAAAGGGGAAGTGAATAATGAACCTGAACGCGATCATGTGACTGAGGACGCCTCTCAGCAATCTCAAGAACATTCAATTTTAGCATCAACAGATTCTATGTAAAGTGTAATCATTTCACTTCATTGCTTTCTTGGCACATGCCAACCAATGCACGCATGCTTAAAACCACCACTCCAAAACTTATACTACTTTAAAACCAACCTAAATTGAGCCTCAAAAAGATTCGACCAAAATCTGTGCAAACTTCGGTCCAAGCCGCAGCAAGCTTTAGTGAAAGTCTAAGCTAACCCTCAGCAAACTTCAGATGGCTTAAGGTCAACCAAAATCATTATGCAATCACCATACAATAAAGCATAACATTATTCGACATAACGCAATAATTAAAATATTATAATCAATAACGAAACTTTTGCGCACTAGAAACCGAATTGAGCATAAATCACGCTTTCATCCGAATATTTTTGATTAATATCTATCATCTCCGTCTTTCCAGTGAGTATGGTTATGCTAATTTATAATGGTTGATTAATTTGTTTGTTTGTAATTGTATTCGTTTTACTCATGTGTATTATGATTTTTGCTTGTTTGTGAATATTTGCTGACCATTCCATTTCGATTAATTTTCATAATCGATTCTGGCAATCTCAAGTTGATTTATTTTGTATGACATTTGTGCACTTCTGAATCGTACAGTTCGCACCTTCTTAAAGCTCACTTCGTTAGCGGCAAATTGAATCCGTTGATGGGGATGAATATTATTGTTCACTCGATTGAATTCGTTTTCATCGCAACAGCGTATCACCAATAAAATTTTTAATGTCAGTAAGCTTAGATCGAGCGGTTTTTCTAGACCGCTCAACGAACACGCTTTCAGCTTCCCAAGAGCACAGTATATTGAGCATAGTATGTCGTGACTGATATCGCGTAAAGAGCGATTGTTGAGGTAACATTGAAATTGTCAATCTCTGCTACGTAAAATGTTTCAGGAGGTGATGAGAGATTTAATAATTTTCACATCATACAATTACCATGTACAAAATTTGGTAATTGTATGATGTGAAAATGTCTGTTTTCATATGTGCGGAATTTGCATGTAAATTATCTAATTAAACGGATGATTGTTATTGATTATTGTTGTTGTTGTTGAGAAACATTGGTGTTGGTTGAGTTGTAATAAAGGGCTGTTATCGAGTATTAAATTGGTGAATTGCCGGATTGAAATTATCGATTGAATCGGTGGATTTATTGATTGTTGTCGTGGATTAGTGGTTGTGGAAGCGGAATAAAGTGAGCTGTTAAGAAGTAGTTATCGACGTGAAGTTGTCGTAGTGGAAGGGAAGTGCTTGAAGCGGAAAGAAGTGATTGAAGGAATCGTTGCTGAGTGAAACCGTTATTGGATTCCGTGTCGATTAGGTTGTAATTGGAGAAGAGGATAGAAGAATTATTGGTCAGCATTATTCAATCGTTGTCGCTATTCGATCGATACGTCATCATCAGTGAAGAAATCAATCGATCGCAAAGAAGAAGGGAACGTGATTTTAATTTTTTTTCCTTTCGCAGTCTTTCGTAGTCATACTGTTATACCCCTTTAGAGATTCGGTCCAGTCGCTTCCGAGCCACCGTTGGTCAGGAGTAACTACATAGTATATTTAATACATAGTGTATTTAAGTTGTTTCATTACTTTCGCTTTTTTAGAATCCGGTCTACTTTTGCATTCAAGAGACAAAACGAAGTATTACATTTCTGTTTTGGGATGTTCTCCTTCTAAAATAATTTTGCTTCAATGAAAGACACAGAAAGCATCATGACTATAACGACAAAATACGGAAACATTCAGAATGTCCATTTACTGAGAGCTTGAGGGATAGCCATCCATAGTTTTTTTTCCCAAAAATGAAGGGAAATCTGTAAATGCGACACCACTCGGTGATTTGTTTCTATCGACTATCTCAGAAGGTTTTCATAAGCTCTCTACGTATGTCCGGGTCTGCATGTGTTGATTCACTTGAGTCGTTCCAAGAAAACAGTTTATTTAAGAATTAATTCATTGAATTCATCATTTACCTTGTTTTCAAGAACGATTCAAGTGAATCACAATTAGATACTTTTAATGTGTTGTTTGTTGTCTTCAACGACGAATAAATTCATTCTACCTGCGTTGAGCATTCTTTATCAAATACAGTGACAATAACAGCCGAACAACCAAACTATTGCTTTGTTTGCTAATAAATATTCTCTTTGATGATCACCACAAGTGTTTTTACCATCTCACAAGACGAACTCATCCTCTCATTTTCAGTCTGCATCGACAATATAAGCAATAAATGTGGCTGATTGATCACAAACAATAGGCTTCGGAATTACTACGCCTATGAAGACCACCCAGGCATTGATGCAATACGTTGCTCTAAGCTTCTTTGATATATCCACTCTTGATCAGTGGTGCCTAATTTCAAAAAAAATGGCTTAGCCGGGTTCCTCGTTTTCAAAATTTTTCGTTCTGGCTTTAGATCCGCATTTTTCGGCTTTAGATCCACATTTCAAGATTATTGTAGCCACAGACCTGAGATTTTGTGGCTTTTCTCAGTTGCTTGACCTCAACTAGACAAACGGAAAAATTTTTCCAGATCATGAGTAGGATTCAGATAATTTCGTAACATCGAAGACGAACTGGGCCTGTCAAGCCCGTCTAAGACTCCATCAATATTATGGCATTTTTAAACGTATGGAACAATAACAACTGTTACTTTTCAGGAATTTTGACTTGTTTCAACCTTTTTTGAGATTCATCAGAACAATGAACAGTATCAAGACGTGCAAATCAGGTGGCTGTTGCAGCATGAACTGTAAAGCATAATTTCATTATCGTCATTCACACTGAACTGCGAAGTGAACTGAACAATAAAACGACAATGAAAATCAATGGGAAAAGCGCTATACGCATGAAAAATTAATGAACAGCACAATTTCCAATAGAACGTTCTTCTTTGAATTTACTATTTCAGCACGGACTGTGAAAAATGATTTTGTTTTCTTAACTCTTCATGACTGGACAGCGGAATGGAAAAATGACAAAGCAACACAAAATACAATGAAAAACAACATCCTACGTATAATCAGAAAATCCAAAACAAATTTATCAGCAATGCTTTCAAACAACACATCAATGTTCAATGTTCAAACAATGTTCAGCAAGAGCTATGAGAACAATATAATAGTATGCAATTTTCACATACAACGATGCCGTACTCATTAAGGACGTTCTTTCGGCAGTAAAAATGTCGCATTTTTAATTTCCCATCATTGATGAACGGACAAATGGAAAATCTTTTTCGTTTCCTATCGCCGACGAAGCCACCAAGGAGGTCTTGATCATTTTGATTATTTCTGTATTTACTGACCTCAAAATGATAAAGTTTCGAACGCATTTTCTGTAGAAAAGAATCGATAGATGAAAGTGATAAGTTGTGAGCGATCTGTTGAGAACAGTTTGTTTAAAATGTGGTGACCGTCGCACTGCACACTTGTGAGAGACTCTCTGTTCGAACGCAAACGATAATGTGAGTTCCAATGAACTTCGTGAATTCAGCAGCGTTCACTGGTGCCTAGCCTCCCTCTCCAGCTTTCCGTAATTTACTTTATTTGTTCACTTTGAAATTTCTTCACGAATATCTCATCTGAGCAATAAGAAATAAGCCGATTTAATGGTGTTAATATTGCGAACTGCTAGACTTATCTGGCCAATTTTCATCTTGATCACATTATGTGCCCCTCCCCAACCACATGCCGAATTCATGGTTTGCTTGATTCACATTCCTGCATCATCTTTTGATTTCCAAGCGCACTAATTGAAGCGTTTGCATTAGGCACATCTTGAGCTATATTTTCAAATAGTTCATAATTAGAATATTCTTCCAGATCGGATAGAATTTCATTCAAATGCAATTCTATCGTCTTCGAATAAACGTTCATTAATTCCATCACATGAGAACATTACAAAGCAAAAATTACACAGCAGTGACCAAAAATTAACGCAGAGTTTTGTCTGCGTGAAACTTATCCCTAACCGGTCCGTCGTGTTGCCGTCTTGCGAAACATGACCATCCGGAAGCTTGATAACCGAGTGCTTTTCATTCATTACTATATACTAACATTAACATCAGAATGTGTTAAAACTTCATTAAAAATCCTTGTATTAAGAGTATATGGTCACATGTATAAAACCGGGCCTGAGAAGTCAGCTTCGTCTCTGATACTATAAAAAAATTTCAGCAGTTTGAAAGTTAATTTTTGTTGAGGTCGTGCCTCCACTAGAGCGGAATAACCCTTACCATTAGGTGTTTCAAGTTTTTCCCTTCTTCATTATGGAATTGCACCACTTTTCACAAGGTTCTTCCCCTTACTGATAGAGCTAGGAAAAATGCTGCTACAGCAGCAGTTCGTATTCAAACTGAACACGAATTTTTATTCTTCTTCAATTTAATTGATGAAAGTTTAATTGCGTTTTGCTATTCGCATTCGCATTCTTATCATGAAAATTTTAATGGTAATTGGGAAAGGAGATGATTTTTGAGGGTGGTGAATTTGCAGGCAAAACGAAGTTTGATCTCGTTGTGGGGAAGGGGGTGGTGTGAAGAGACATCGTAATCAAATGAAGCCTAAATGTCGTTTGGCTAGGATTCATTAAGCATAGAATTTGCAATGATTTTTCACTAGTTTTCGTCCGTTTGCGTAATTGAAGTAATCTATGCTTTTAGCAGGATGTGTAATGTGCATTCGTTTTTTCAGAAAGAAACTATCAAGTGTTGTGTAATCAGGTTGTCACTATGCTACCATTTGTTTACAGCGGAGATGATGAGGATCGTGAAAGGACAGATACTCAACGGTAAAATTGATTATTTGATGCTTCTGTGAGGTAGTGTGTACTTGCTGGACCTTGGACACTGAGTCAGGCTGAGATTTACCGGTCCAAACCGGAGCAAAACTCAGTTAGCCGGACAGAAGTGTGCCGGGCCAGGCATTCCCACAACAAATGCATTTCTCTTTCGACTTTGGTCGGGTGATTCATGGTTCGAATCGGTAATTCTTGATGCAGCCCGACAGTGCTTAATTCGGCCTAGCACAGCAAGTCTTGGCGCGGTTCCTAGCCCGTGCTAACAGTGTTTACCTGAGCTCGATAGTGTGGGCCCAACAATTGCACATTCCATTTTTATGAGAACATTTCGGGCAGTGCTCGATAATCTTTTAGCCTCTTGCGAAAGTAATAGCAAATGCGGTCCTATTCTGGCATAATCAGCTCGAGTTTAACATCTGACGCTTGCACTGATATCTAAGGCCTATAACAAGCGTATATACACCATTTCGTACTGCTGAGATGTGTATTATCATTTGATATTGTAGTAATACAGCAGTAATTGACTGTCAGTCTCTTCACAGAGTCGTTAGTAGTAGTGATTGAGTTCAAGAAGGAGATCATTTAAATGATCATTAAACATAAGCACCATACGGTGACTGCATGCAAGTTGCGAGGGAGAAAATGCAACATCATGACAAGAAGCACCGACAATGTACGCTGTCTAAGTGGAAGAAGCCGAAACTTTGTAGGTCTAGAAGACGATATACGCGAAGTCGATCGAGGTCAAGTTCACGATCTCGTTCACGAACACACTCCAGGTCACGTTCTGCATCCCGTTCACCGTCACGTTCTGATTCGCGTAATAGATCACCATCGGGATCAAGGTCACCTCGTTCCAGTCGAAGTAATCGTTTCCTCATTAAACGAGGCAAACAAGAATGCTGCTTCCATATTAAAACAAGGAGCAACTCTCACTATTTGTTTTTATTTGCTCTTCTGATAAGTAGGAAAGGAGAAAGTTTATTGCAATCAGATGTTTATACATTAACACTAATGTATAAATAATCCTACCCGAGGAACACGATCAAAAAAAGCCCAATATCGTAACGACGATAATGCAGATCATAAAAAATTCAGTCACAGTTCTTCATGAATAAGATCAACTGAGAGTGTAATTATGAAATTCGTGAGTAAATCCTCAATCAACAAAACCAAGCACTAAGGAATCAGTAGCCATTTTCTAAGAGTATATCTGAACTAGAAGGACAAAAGCAATATTGAAGGACGAAATCGTCATTGGTCAAGGTCGAGTTCATCAGAACGCGATCGTGATGACCGAGGCCGTAGTCGTACACCACACTATGATCGTGATCGTGAACGTAGTCGCCGAAGTCGCAGTCCATACGATCGTCGATCCAATCGGGTTTCGTTATTCTTCATTCAATCAGATGGATTTAGGATTGTTACTGTAACTGAATGATAGATTGTTTTGAGTGGAGATTGTGTGATCGTATTCACATTGAAGGATAGAGGCGAGTTTTCGAGTGCTATACCCTACTTGTCATCGCTGAGTGCGCGTAACGAAGGCTCATCAGGACATTCATTCGGACAACCGCATTACAAAATTGTTTTGAAGGTGCTACCGTCTGACATACAACGAGAAGGAGTACGTACTAAATTTGAATAATTATTTTCCCTTTTCCTATCTACTGTTTGCGGATTTCATCATTGCATTTCCAGGTGATTGCTCAAATAGAACGGCAAGGTTTTCGTGTGCGAGATATTCGAATTATTCGAAAAGGTAATCAATATTCTATCTTAGAGTTTATTTCTCGAGATTTGTTGTTCTTTTTCGTAAAGTAATGAGTGAGTGCAGAGTACAGTCTATGGATGTTCTTGTACAAATATTCATCTGTAAAATATCTGCTTTAATCGTAAACATCAGCCTGGTATCACACTGCGGGAATTCGGTATGCTAGGTTATTTTCATCTTTTGACTTTTTTATTGTTTGAATACTTCTTGATCAGTATCTATGCAGTGAAGTAAAAGACGGTAAATAAGACTCGAGAAGGACTGCTTATTTCATCGAATTTGCCTTAATTGATCTTATTTAATAAATAGCAGGTGTTTCTCTTACAGTTAGTAAATTTCGAAGATTACCTTTATAAACATATCTCTATGATCATTCATCCAAAAATTAGTGCGATCGTTCATTACATTCTGTTTGCAAGAAAAAAATTCATCTGAAATCTCCTTCAATTTTATAATATCACTTATTCAATAGTTTAATAGTATAATCGCCATTAAATGTATACCGACATCTTATAATTATTTCATCTCATCATATTTTGGTCTAATCAGAGTTTGTACAATATAAGATTATCTGAATTTTTGTTTCTTTCTCCTCACTGACCCATAGAAAAGTCTATTTTCATACTTGATGAATTTTTATAGTTATTTATATCTTATTTTCGCTGCATTCATATTCACATATTATAGTTCAAGTCATATCAGTTTATTTCATCATTCAACTATCATCTGTCACGTTAGCTTCATTTCCCTTGAAATATTATCACTACACGAAACAACTATCTAAAGCAAGTAATCCTTATTGGTGGCATGTGTGAATAATGAGTGATAAATGGAATTGTAAGAATATAATACGAACTAATCGGCTATGCGCATTATTCAGTGCATTACAATATTGTTACTAGAAGGTACAATAAAATAAAAATATGAAAGCAGCATCATTCAAAAGCATATCGATCAGTGCATGACGATGCACTGGTATTAGTGCTGTGGACTAGTTGGAATAATGAATATGAAAATGAATCGATTGATCGCAAGATGACTGATTCGACAATGCTTGGTTCTTGGTAATAGGCGAGTGCTATCAAGAAGTTGCTTTCGAGTGTAGTTTTAGTGTTGATGCTAACGTCTACACTCACTACAGGTCCAGAACGTTGCTTTGGATTCGCCGAATTTGCTGATGTGAATAGTGCACAGGCGTGGATGGAGTTCAATAAGGTGCTGCTAATCTCACACACCTCACTCCAATTTACTCTTTACATTAGTATTACATTTACATTTATTATTGTTATTATATGCAAATATGTTATTAATATGGTCATGTCCTTACTGCTATCAACATTATGACTATTCAGTACTGATTGATCGCCAACCGATTTTGATTGAAAAGAAGCACTACAGTCAATCGCTTTTTTATTATGCGATAGTATTTTTGCATTAGCATTAATTCTATCCATCCAGATACACTCTTAATGGCCGTATTCATTGCACATTCGAATATTGTTTCAAACTTAAATTTTTTTGAGAACCCGTTGAATTAATGCTATTTTATGAATTGTTCCATCCGGTTTATTCTTTTCTTGTATTGCGTCACGTTGATTCCAAAAAACACGAAGAGTGAAACGGTAAACAATCCCTACTTAGAATGTAACCTAAATTATTCCATCGCGATGCATCACTAATTCAAAAGTGCAAATATATATTCTTGATGTGTTGTTAGTCCACGCGGACTGAAAGAAAGACTGAAGAAGTACGGTGTTATGCCTTGTCATCGTTTTACTGGTTAAGTGCGCTTTCGTATGACGGACTAAGAAGTCGCATTTGTTCCTTCTTTTATTTCTCATTTTTAAAGCGCGCATCCCTTTTCACAAAAAGCTCTAATAGTATCGGTATTGAAAAGTCAAGCTCAGTTTGATTCGCTCAATCGTCAAATGTTTCAAGTTGTTTTGCATTCTGATCATCGAAAAACAACCGTTCCTATAACATGTTGTACAATCGATCATAGCTTTCATCAGTAACAAACTCTTTGTCAGCATTTTTTCAGCGTTTCACTTCAAAAATCTAACTAATGTGTTAAGTAAGTGTTTGCTGTGAATATCCCATCCCGTCAGATAGTCGGAGATGGTGCATTAAGATGTGAAGAAAAAGAAGCAGAAAACTGGGCGCTGCAATGTCGTGTATTACGTATTTCAGCAATACCGTCAAATTGATGGACGTTCACTGTGTAATTAGTGTTTGTTTTAGGGAGTATTTACGCTTGACGATGGACATGTGACGAAACTGGAATATTCGCGTTATGATAACTTGGATGGACGTTCATCATCAGCAGCTAGTAATGGTGATTGGATGTGTGCTAAGGTGGACATAGAACATCTTTTTTGCCTTATTAAACGGCCTCGTCATGGACGATTACCATCATCCATTTCAGTGTACCATCAAAAACTTCAAAAATCGTGGTTCATGTTTCAAATGTAATCTAACTCGTATTGAATCTGATGCTCTTACACGTAAAGGATATGCTGCGATTGGTGTCGCAAAATGTGATAGTAAGTGATTTCGATATATCCAATAAACTTTCTGACGCACTTCAACCTTAATAATACTGATTATGCTGTAAAACAATTGTGCACGTTTGAATTGTTCCTTTCAATTAAACTTGTCCTCAATTTTTTGAAAAATTTATTTCAGCACTTCTTCTACGAGAGATTCCACTGCAATGCACTGAAGCAAAAATTCAATTTGAATTGAGCAAAATCTCCTCAATGGAAATTTTGCGTGTACATATAGCTGACTCAGGTCTGTATGCATATGTGCAAATGCGAAGTGCAGATGATGCAGAAAGACTTTTACTTGCCTTCAATAAAATGCCATTACTCATCGATGGATGTGCAGGTAGATACCCATTCTGGCGTCATTCTTCATAATATTCGGTTTCGAAGGCAAAAGAACATGATGTTTTGTGAGATGGAGTAGAAGTGGCAGGGAGAGACTTTTTTTCAGTGATGGTGACATATTCACGTTTACCTTTAAATACGGTCCTCTCGATGTCGTTAGCAAGCGAATCAATTCAGAAGGCAGCAATGTATGTGAACACATTGCCTGCGTTCCGACCGTCTGTTGGATTAGGTATTATTATCATTACAATTATTGAATTCACCTTCTTAATTTAATGATCGAATCGAATTCACCTTCGTCATTTGAAAATTAATGTTCGTAAAATTAACCTTTCACATGACAAAATCATAAACAAAAACAGCTATTTAGTAAATTGACTTTACAAACATTTGTAAATTGAAATTTCACTGCCCACAGCGTTAATGATTTCTCATAGTACGACTCGATGAAATTCGTTTTGTTCATTGCAAGTCATGGTGCGGTTAATTCTAATAGAGAAACATTCTAACACAATCCTAAAGTAGGTCATGTGGGTGCTGAAGCAGCTCAGTTAGCGATTGCGAAGACAACTCTTTTACGGCAGGTGGCGAATTCGGTGATGGGCAGTGATGCAGTAAGTGATGATCACTTTTTTGTGCTGCATGTCATGTATCGAATGAACAATATTGTCACCACTTCTGTTTTAATTTCTCATTTCTCGATCGTTAAATTTTCTAATCTCATCCATTTATGTTAAGTTTCGATGGAATCGTTCAGATCCTGATTATTTATTTGAAGTTCTTAAACGCCAACAAATTATGTGAATGAACACATATTACTGGAATATCGTTTTTGATTCGCCATTTCAGGCAGCTCAGTCAATGACCTCATCATCTCTTGTCGGTGTTGACGATCGTTCATTGAATACAAACTTCGTGGTTACTGATTACTTGAACGATGAATCTCGTATCAGTGCAAATAACAATAGCAGTAATTTTGTTTGTGTTGATGATTTGACTAATCAGGTTAGCACTTCTAATGTTCAAGCACTTAACTCTGGCTAACTGTGATCATCCAGCAAGCTCATTCTCTCTCTCTGGCACTATATACTTTAATCATGGTTCCTGATCAAATCCAACAAATGTAAACTTGTAGGGAGTACAACAACGACAGCAGCAACTTGCACAGGATCGTTATCAAGGCTCGATGCAACAAACTGGAGTTGTAACGAATTTACCGAGCACTAATCTCGGTAATGTTGAGACTCCATGGGGAACATTCAAAAAATATCGTACGTTTGCATTTCTCGATTATCGCTTTAACCTCCCATGAATCATCTTTAAATGAATGGCAACTTTCAGCACCTCCAAATACCAACTTGTACCAGTATGAAGCCTCATCAGGTCTTTACTACGATCCAGTGAGTACGCTTTATTACGATAATAATTCGCAATATTATTGGGATGCGAGTGCACAAAAATGGAACAGTTGGAATGCCGTTTACCAAACTTATATACCGTGTGAATTAACCGCTACGCAACAAACTTCGAGCATAACTGCTCAAACCACTCAGAATGGTACTCTTATGAGCTGTTAAAATGTCTAACTTTATCGAAATCCAACACAATCCATTTTTCTCTAAATCGTTCATCACAATAACAGTTTTGATCAGTAGAATGCACTCTCTCGGAGTCGTTCCTTAGTATACTTTATTTAAGTGACACAAACAACTGCTTCCGATGCTGATCAAACAGAAAAGCCAATTGAAAGCAATGATGATCAAAAAACGTTGACAAAAGAAATCGATTCAACCGAAAGCTCAAAAAAATCAGAGGTAAGTTTTATTCCAATTCTTCCACTTCTTTTTTTTTCAGTAGTTCGTTTCGCTGTTGCTTCAAATTTTGTTTTTGTCGGAACGGTTGGCATGCATAAGAAACATATTGGTAATGCTTGACTTGATCTACGATTACATTCAATGAATATTTCATGCCTAAGGAATTGCGTATAGATAGCATACTGTGAGACCCGAACAACCATTGACTTTCAATTTGTCTTTAATTGTCTGTAATTTTATTGAGCTATCGAGACTGAATTATTTTCATTAGTTTCTGAACATGGTGAAAGTGTCGTAGGTTTTCATTGTTTCTATTTCTTTATCGTTTTTCATGATCACATTTCAATTGAGATTATTTAGCCTCAAAAATCAGCTAAAGATATCGCAAAAGAAATGGCAAAATGGGCGAAAAAGCAGAGTAAAGTTCTGATGGCCGTAAAAACCACAAGGGTATTGGACAATTCAGCGTTCATATCGGCAACATCCTCCAAACCGAAAGCGTTAGCCACTACCGAAGCAACTGCCGATTTGACATATAAACTGCTTGAGAAAGCGTCGGTTCGTGTTTTAAAAAAAACTATAAATGATAATGTTGGATGACACGAATAGTATTAACGCTAAATACGGTTACCCGAATCCACAACACTTCTCAAAAGCATTGTATAAGCTTAATATAATTCGTTATTATTCAAATGGTGATATTGGTCATTCGGATGTAGCAAGTGCGCATAAAATACGATGTCTTATTAATTCATAAGTTAAATTTTGAGTTCGAATGAACGTAACGAGAGGAACATTTTGTGTGAATGACTGACTTAATTCAGAATCCACTGGGTTCAATGAGTGATGAAGAGGATGAAGTGCCTCCACCGCCGAAAGTTGCTGCATCAGCAATCGGTCGTTCTGCACTCAACAGTACACCATCGTTACCGTCGTCAAGCCGACCCGCACTCGCTTCGAGCACTTCCGAAAGCAACCCCTCCACTCAGCAACAACCGCAAGTGTTCGTATTCATTTTTTCTTTATTCGTTATTATTGTAATGTATGTACATAATGCATTCTATTGTAAGCAGGAAATCGATTAATCGAAAACAATTACTTGAAAAGAATCTTTCGCTTCAGATCGCTACAATCCGAAGAATGGTTCATCGATGCTGAAAATAAGTCGTGCTTATTATGTAAACGTAAATTTAGCAGTATAGAAGTGTTGATGAAACATATTCGCCTCTCTGATTTGCATAAAGTAAGTTCATTTCGAATTTATTTTTCATTCATACAGCATTGCGTCATCGTTTCATTTTCCCTTTGGTTATTCCAGTTTAATATTTATGCTTTGAGTTCAGTCGTAGCTATCACCAAAAATGTCACCTGTAAAATGCTTTACATATTAAAAAAACCAATACATTGTTCTCTTAAAAAATTACGACAAATATGTGAAAATTCAAGCGCAATTTCTTGATGAGACGTTGTATAAAATCTTTTGAAACATCTATGCGAATGAGGAAGTACACGAAGAGAATAGTCGTGAGGTAGAGGAGTTGATGAGAGTGTTTACTTTGAGAGGAATGAATTTATTTTCAGAAGAATCTGGAAGAGTACAAAAAGAATAATTCGGCATCAACCAATGTTGATGATGGTGTTGTATCGACTTCAACATCATCATCAGAAATAACTCAAGGCCAGAAAACGACTCTTCAGTATCGAGATCGTGCAAAAGAACGTCGAAATATGTTCGGTCTTGATCCGAGTGGTACGCTTTTATCGTGACGATCAAACGACGAAACAATCAATTCAGTGATTGTTCGTTGGTGTGCTCGATTTAACGTTTGTTCATTCATCATTCAATAACGTGCGCTGATCGCAAATGATCCTTAAAGGTTTCACAAACGAACCCACAGATGCACAAGAAGCAATGGATTATGCAGTCACATCTCAAGATGTTCCCATTGATGAGACTAATATTGGCAATAAACTTCTCAAATCAATGGGATGGACTGAAGGAAAAGGCATCGGCAAGAATAATCAAGGTTTGTTTGTTAATGTATATCTATCTCTGCAACAATAAGCCAAATGTAATTGTAGGCATCGTAACACCAATCACAGCTGAACGTCGCGTGGAAGGTGCAGGTCTAGGTGCTTCTGGTTCGCGTGTTCTTCACGGTGCGAATGCCTCTCGTCGTGAACGTGCTCGATCGGCAATGATCAGCAGATATCAAGAACTGATATGAGAAGCATCTTTTAATTATCACCCTAATCAAGTCAAATTATATTCGTATTTTTCGTCGTGTTTTTAATTTGTTCATTTTTTTCTCGTATTCATATGACAATATTGTTTTAGAGTGAATAATCTTTATTTATATATTTACAGCCAGTTATTTTCAATTATCACAAATTAGTGACTGTTCAAATGAGTCTGTACTCATCAACTGCATTCTATTTTCGTGAAACTACATTTGAGTGCATATATTGTTTGTTTCTTATTATGTAATTTTGTGCTGAATGCTGAACGGGTTTGAAAGTTTAAACTCATTGATGCATAATTTATATTCTCAAAATTCTATCCTTCTGAAGATTCACAGTCTGCTTATTTCGTTTAACATTTTATTCGCTGCCACGCTATTTTCTTTGAAGAGTGATTAATTTAGTTCTAGAAGCAGCGGATTATGCAGTCAAATCTCATCACTTGTGAAAAGATAATTTCAAACCCAATTTGCTGTGTATTTGTTTGTTATTTGCAACATAAACGTGTTTTCACTGTATTATTGATTGATAAAGAGCATTAATAAAGACCGTATCAACTCGGTGCAAGATTACATTTTGAGAATATGGCGAAAAGGTAAAGGAGAATGAGGGTTCAATAAGTAAGAATGAATGCCATTATTAAAATGATAAATTGAATTGATGTGGTGTTCATGGTATCAAGCGTCGTTGTAGAATATTTTTGGTCAAAACTAGTATATTTATATTCTAGTCAAGTGTTTCATTTCTCATCTATTCCAACTAAGAGAATAGAACAGGTCCAAAAAAGGACGAGCGGAAGAGGACAGTTGAAGAGCGCAACAGAACAGAACTGTTTGAAAATTCGAGCCGCAAGAACAAAACAATACGGCCTTGAAAATATGGAATGAGTGAATAGAACATAACAGGACGGTTCTCGAAAAAGAAGATGCAGAACAAAACAACTGAAGGACAGAAGAGAACATTTTACTAGAAGTGAATAATTACTTGTCACAAAGTATGTTTGTGGACAGAAGACGACTGTGTGCTGATTGACAAATGAATTCATCAGTTCGTTAGCCAGAGAGTTTTGGTCATCATTGAAAGAAGTTGTTTTACTTGTAGAAGACGAACAAGAAGGCGTGATAATTTAAAGCTAAAAAGAACTGTATGCATTTTTGTGCTACGCATTCGCGTACTTCGATGGTGCTTGTTATTCGGTGGCAACGAAGAGCATTCTCATCACAATTAAAAGCACACCTGAAATGGCCTCGAGAGGTGAGCATTAATGGTTGAGTGTTAATTGCGATGTGTTGTTATGATAATGCTGATAAATAAACTGATGTGAACAAATCGCAAAAACTTTATGAAATGCGCATTCGTCAATAACATTTTATCTGGGCCATAAACGAATACGTACAATTCATGAGCAGTTTTTGTGCATTTGAGTTGATCATTGGGACATTTCAATTTGTTGATCATTCGTCTCACATTTCAGAACTCATCGATAAGCGTTCATCTGAAGCAATTAGAAGAGCACTGGCGTGATGTCGCATTATCAGCACATAGCAAGGTGGCATTATAGTGACTATTCCCACCGCAAAAATATGAAACCACGAATATTCATTTCGTGAATAATTTCCATTATATCATAATATCTTATTTCAGGGATCTTCATCCTCTAAAAAGTACATATTATCGATGTTTCCCTATCCATCTGGTAATTTGCATATGGGACATATGCGTGTTTATACGATATCAGATGTTATCGCACGATATTACAGGTAGAGCACATTAGCATTGCAAATGAATTTATGATCAATCATTTTTCTTGATTAATGATAATGTCACGAATAATAATCAACTTAGCAGTCTTCTTTATTGTTATCGATAACAAATGCAGTTGAGTATAGATGATCGATAACTGAATCGAAATGATTCATATTGTTAATGGGTGCACAGATCAGAGTACTGTTGAATTTCATTCTTTTGAGACTCATTTTCATTTACCTGTTGTTTTTTGTATGCAATGAATGATTCTTTGAAAGGCTGAGTGGTTTCAACGTAATTCATCCAATGGGATGGGATGCATTTGGTCTCCCGGCCGAGAATGCTGCTCGTGATCGGGGCGTTGATCCAGAGCAGTGGACATTTAGGTTTTTTTTTTCATAAAACTAATCATGAACTTTTTAATTCGACTCACTCGAGTCATATCCCTTTTTACCGTCATTACTAGTTCGGTCCGAAAGTTCGAATTTTCTTCATCCGAATTAACGGAGAACCGAATTGTTGATTTCTAATGAAAATGCATTACCGGGGTTATATGGCATACAATGATTTGAGTTGTTTTGTAGTAATATCAATACGATGCGTGAACAGTTAATGCGAACTGGAATCGTTTTTGATTGGGATCGAGTAAGTTCATTGGTTTGCTGTTACATATAAACAGAAGTGGTGAAGTAAAACAACATTGTTCCTCTTTTTATTTGTTAGAGTTAGTTTTATTTTATTATGTTCGTTCATCTGTTGGAGTGAACGTCTTGAGAATGCTCAGTAAATGGCCCTTGAAGTTGTGCTTTAAAACGTATTACGTTAAGCGCTGAACAATATAATTGACAGCTGAGATCATTCTCTATCCAATAGTTTGTTGTGATTCTGAATGTGAGTTTGAAGTCATTGACTGAGCAAAAGTGAATTTTAATGATAATAATTAACAATAGAATGTACTGTTTTAACAGGAAATCTGCACGTGTTCGCCAGATTTTTACCGATGGACGCAATGGATATTCTGTCGACTTTATGACTACGGTCTCGTCCATCGCTCGCTTGCTGAAGTTCGCTTATTTTAGTCATGGACATGTAGTTATTATTGTCAGCATGTAATATCATTATTCTTTCGATGATAGTATGCGATTATTGGTTTATTTACTCAACTATTACACTGTTATGTCTCCGGGTTATTACCAAAATCACATTGCTTCTTTTTTTAAAGCTTCACTCTTCTTTTTCACAAAGTAGAAGATATCAATCATTCGTCATTTGTTCTCGAGCGTTGATGTGTGAATTGGTTTTAGAGGTGTTATTTGAGGTGAATTGGGATCCAGTTGATGGCACTGTACTAGCAGCTGAGCAAATCGATGAAAATGGTCGTTCGTGGCGTTCGGGCGCTATTGCTGAAAAACGAAAATTGAAACAGTGGATTGTGGAAACACCGAAGTATGCAAAGGTGTCGTTTTATGAACACTTCTCGATATATCTTGATTTAATGAATTGTACTGTTTGTTTATCTGTTTCATAATGTGAATTTCGTTTTTATTTTTCTGGTAGAATTTATACTTGAAAGCATTGATCACGTTCAGAGACTTTTGAATGGACTAAAGAAGATGCCGCATTGGCAAGAAGTGGCCGAAATTCAAGCGAATTGGATCGGTAAATGTGACGTTTTTCGTTTTCAGCTACCACTGAGGGTAAACGATAGAATTATTTCATAATATTAACTTTATAGTGTTTAATTTGAAAACATCTAAATTCTGTACTAATATTAACAGTCCTACAATATTCAATATATTTCTCTCATCAAGCGCATTTCATATTAAATTTTTGTCTTAATGTCAGTTTAAATGATGACGAGTGAATAGTAATACAGATTCGAGGTGCCTTGACAAAAACTGATTGGTGCGTATATGTAGTTATCTAAATGGAGAACTTTCTTTCGCTCACATTAAACGAACGGTTTTGTATATCTTTCACTGTGCAGTATGATTTTTGTTGTTATCAACGAGTTTTATTCTATTCAGTCTGAAAATGGTCAACTGCTTGATGAAACACTAGATTTGCGAATTCGAGAGCCGCGTCATCTCGCGAATGCTCGTGTTATTTTCATTCGTAACGGACATCCGTTGGTGCCTTCAAATGTTGTCGATTCACCGTGTACGTTGTTGAACTTTGATATTTCATTTCATCCAACTGAACCGTTTAATTTTCTTTTCCGTGTTGATTTTGAGCTTTTTGGTCTATTTCCTAAAAAAAATTTCAGATCTTCTTACGAAGAGCGTAATGAATATCGTCGACGGTCAACAAATGCCGGTTATTTATTTGCCTAACGAATCATCTGCATCTTCACAAAATGAATATTTTCTGAATGCTCGACTTGGTTGCGAAGAAAATGATTCAGACCTAAGAATTGCACGTAGTTTTGGCGTTGAGCTGAAACCTACGAAGCGATTTAATTTCAACGATAGCGATGTGCTAGAAATTGCTCAGGTAACTTTTTTGAGTTGATAAAACGTTTGATAATTTCTCAGTTATCTCTTATGTTTGCGATCGTAATTCCTTATGTTATCATTAGAAGAGTAGAAAGGTTTTGTTTCGGGAGTATGCGTCTAGTTTGATACTCTTTCGTTGAAAGGAAATGAAGAAATTTTTGTTATGGGAATGATGAGCGTTTTGGTTTGAGTTAAGTGGATGTGCGTGAATAGAGTGGCATTGTGAGGGGTTGTTCATCAGGAAATGCGATCGCGTTGTTCGATTTATGCAGTTTGGTAAATACGGTGGGTACGAGACGAGTGAGAAGTTGCTGGATTGGGTGGTGTCACGTCAGCGGCGATGGGGAACACCGATACCAGTGCTGCTATCCGAAGACGACGAGCACGAGCTGGCGGTTCGAGTCGACGACCATCAGTTACCTCTATTGCCACTCAAGTCAACTGAACAGCGACAACGAATGAAGTGTGATCGGTTGGTTTGTGCACTTTCATTGTTTCGTTCGTTGGATGAATCAGTCGTCAGGATTGATGATGCGTCTGAAATGCGAACAGATCATTCAATTGCAATTGCAGTTTNACGAATGAAGTGTGATCGGTTGGTTTGTGCACTTTCATTGTTTCGTTCGTTGGATGAATCAGTCGTCAGAATTGATGCGTCTGAAATGCGAACAGATCATTCAATTGCAATTGCAGTTTACCGAATGGTTTCGGTGTTCGAGAAACGGATACATTAGACACATTCTTTGATTCGAGTTGGTATTATCTGAGGTAAGGTCATTTGTTCATTTCGTTTGGTTTGTATGCATTTAAGATGATTTATTTCGTTGATGACTAATGAATGGGCATTGAACTAGATGATATTCGAACTAATGGAATAAATATAATTATTTAAAATTTACTTCAGATATCTTGATCCGATGAATGCGCAACAACTTATTAGTGCAGAGAAACTGAAGCAAATGCCTGTTGATGTTTATGTAGGAGGCATTGAACACGGTATGCGAGTTCACTTTCGGTTGATTATTCCATTCGTTTTAGTGGACGATCTCATTTTCTGTAATAAATGTGTACCATTCGAAAATCAAAGCTCTGCTGAGTGTTCATTTTTCAGCCGCCGTGCATATGTTCTTCGCACGTTTCATGTCGTATTTTTTGAGTGATATCGGAGTTGTGAATATCAATGAACCATTCGATCGTCTATTACCACAAGGCGTTGTTCGAGGCAAAACATTCGTGCGAGTCGATAATGGAAAATATGTGCCTGAGAAAGATGTTATCCAGAAAGGTTGTTCACATTTCAGTACTTTTTGTGCATAATGCTAAGTTGAAGGAATTGGTTGTAGATTATGATTGCTGTCAGCAAAATGAATCTTTAAAGGAACAGATTTCGTTGAGAAGCGTGATGCGGGTGAAGTAATCGTACAGTATGAGAAGATGTCAAAATCGAAACATAATGGTGTTGACCCACTACAAGTGTTGAATCGTGATGGAATTGATCTGACTCGGTTACAGTTACTTGATTCTGCGGCACCACGTGCACCCATTAATTGGGGTGATGCAGGTAATATTCATTGGATGTATTATAAAATGAAATTGTTTGTCGTTACTTGCAGATGTGAGAGGTCTTAGGAAATGGTTAGATCGTGTATCGTGGATCGTTAATCAGTATGTCAAGGAGCGTAGCATTCACAGCTCAGATGTTATTCAGCAAGTGGATCATGTTACCGAAGAACGATATCGCGAGATTTACAACTATGCTGTTCGGAATGTTCGTTTCTTTTATTGTATTTCAATCCGTTTTCATCGCTTGAATTATTTACATTTTATAGTGTAATTTGCATTTCAGGTAACAATGCTACTTGAAGTTCTACATCTGCATAATACAGCAATTGCTCGTTTGATTGGTCTCACGAATTCACTCAGAGTATGATTTTATCAGCTTCTTTGCTTATAGGCCAAGCTTACCTGCAAATAAATTATTTCATTCATTTTTTAAATGGGATGGAATTTTAGGAAAGTTTTCTGAATGACTCACGCATATTTCAGAAGGCTAAACCATTTTTGTTCGGTAGCTGTGTTGAAGTGGAACGTTGTGTTCATGCACTCATTGTAATGATGCAAGTTGGTTTTTTAACGATCTGTATGTTTGAAGAGCAATTTGCATTTTACTATATCCATTTGTTAATTCTTTGAATATTCGTAGGTTCATTCTTTTATTGTGCGTCAGATCATTCATTCGTTTTTTTTCTCGTTTTTGAAATATTCTCATTTGATCCTTTTCCTAATTTCTGTTTTTAGTTTGATACTCTTTGAAAATTTCGGGCTGATTCTACTTTCAATCGCTTTGAAGCAGCTAAAAAATTTCTGATCAAAAAATTTCACAAGCTCACAAAACATTCAGCTATTTGTTAAGGTTTTCACGCCACATACAGCTTCCGAACTTTGGTCTGCAGTCTGCTCGGTGCCAGCAATTGATGAAAATAGACGACGCAAGTCAGTTAGTGTGGCCGAACAAGATTGGCCATTGGTTGATGGAGATGCTGATATTGATTTTATACTTCAAGTATATCGTAAATCTATTATCGTTAGCGCTATTATTGAGTGCGCAATATATGCTAACTTGCAAAGCAAATGATATTTATTGAAAACTTATAGGGGGAATGATTGTAGATGCGGAATAATTCGATATTAAAGGCGATTGCCAATGAATGCATTTCGTTTCAGGTCTTACACATGAGTTGTGGTCGAGTTGCGTGTCCTCGACAGTCAATCGAACATCTGAACGCCGAGCAAGTGCTTCGGATGGCCGAAAACGAATCTCACAAATGGTTCCTAAGCAAGCTCGCCGACGCGGGTTATCGACCACTGAAATATGAGTTGCAACGTCGCGACGGTTCTCATTTGTGTATTGTTTTTTTTTTTTGTTTTTTTTTGATGAACAACAGCGTTCAGAATGCCCTGCTGAAACGCCGAAAGCATACTACCCACCAACTGAATTGTTTTATTAGCGAAGAACATGTCCACCCATTATAGTGATGCTTATATAGCTATACACGGGTTCGATCCTAAAATACGCCAGGAAATTCACTCATATTTGGGCATGAATGAACCTTGACCGGTTCTCAATAAGTAAAAAAACTTTGCAGGTTTGCATGTCACATTAGTATTACATTTTGACGAATCGTTGAAAGAGGATGATATCAGAAAATTACTCAACGAAATGAGCGCTCATCGTATCAAATCGAAGAAATCATCCAAAAAGTCATATAAAACTAAATCTGTCGATATGGGGCAGTAATCATTTGGAATGTGTTCTCGTTGAATTAGATTGTTTGTTATTTTGAATAAAGCTTTACAATTGATTGTGTTGCTGTTGTTGTTTTTATTCATTCATACAAAATATCTCAACAATCATATCATCAATGCTGTAATGATTAACTGTCATAAAAACACATAAGATTTATTAGTATACCGATGAGTATCAAATTCATCTTCATAGCTTCTGTGGGAATTCGTTCGATTTGGATTGGATGGCCACACCGTCAGTTGCAATCGAACATGATGAAGATGCTCAGTTGTGCTCAGAGGAGTTTGATGCAGCAGTGTGTGAGCCTTTTAATCACTTGATTCACCATATTGGTTGTGGTAAATTTACCGTATTCTTGATTTACCATACAATATTGGTTGCGATTAAATTGTAATTTAATGGATAAAAACATCGACTGTTGAGGGACATCATCAGTCATCGTGAACTGAATCAAATAGTTGGTTTCAATTTCTGCTTTGTGAAAACTGGATAAATGGATCTGTCTATAATTAGATACGTATTTTCAGATGTTCGTGATCAATTGAAGGGTGTGAAAAGTGGAGATGAAGCCCAGCGTCTGCACACATTACGTTCAAAATTGCATACACTCAATGTTCAGTGTAGTGATTCTATAAAGAAAAATGTTTTCCTCAATTATCAACAATTTATTGACACTTCCAAAGAAATATCACGTATGTTTCTTATATGTTTAACTTATTGCAAGCATGCACTTTGTGTTTGTTTTTGTCTTAATCGAAAACATCTTATAAATGCGCAGATTTGAAACGTTTCAGATTTGGAGAGAGAAATTTATGAATTGTCATCGTTATTATGCGATCAACGATTACTTATTGAGAATTTAATGCAAATGAGCGGTGAAGATCGTTCATCGATATGTACTTCATCTAGTGTGCACACATCGAATGCAACAATCAATCCGATCAATGTATTAATGCAAAAAATGGATGGAATTGCTGTTAGTTGCATCGATTTTATACATTATAATTGTTGTTTCATTTACTGTATGTTGTAATGGAGTCGAAGAATTCGTTGCATCTTCGTGATCTCGTCATATTACAGGGTGTATTGAATAGTCTCAGCAATTCAGAACGAGTCATTCTTCACGGTGAAGTGATGCAACTGGATATCGACAGTAAACAACCTCTTCATCCTGCTATGTTGGTACTACTCACCGATAGATTGCTCATCGGTCATCCATCAACGGGTCTCTTTCTTCAACTTCGTTTCTGTCTTCTATCTTTCCTTATCTGGTTTCATCAAAATTTTATCGTTATTCAAAAGAATTCATTTTCATCATTTTATGAACAATTCTGACCAAGTGAATATTTTTCAATGAATATCTTATAAATAAAGTATTCGTGAAACTCGATACTTGAAGAGTATTCCTATTCGATTGGTAATAATTTAAAAACTGTGATCCTAGGTAAGTATCGTTTCCATCTGGAATCATCACATCCATTAAATGCTCTCGCTGCAGTCAATATTAAAGATCGTGACAGCGCTGAACCCGTCAATACTGCATTTAAACTCCTCATCTTTCCCGAGCAAAGGTTTGCATCCATACCCATTTATGTGCACCATTCAAATTATTCGTTTCGACGATAGTTTTTATTAAATGTTTTTCGCATGTTATTGTTCCTTGAATGATTGACTGATCTGTAGAGTAAAATAAATTTTTGTTGAATTTTAAGAGATGTAAAATTAACTATTTGAAGAGTATTTCGTTGTGAGAGTAGTCGAATGAAGAAGGATTGGTTGGATACAATTGAAGAAGCGAAACGAGAATTGCTACATGAAGGATCGTTAATGCGACAGGCAACAATTCGTGGTAAACGACGAAGTACTGATGTACCGAACAGTCCAACAACGACCAAATCAAATTCGGCCGCATCACTACTCGATACCGTTCTCGAACAACCCAAATCACCGGACGAAACGGCATGGTTGAATGAATTACCAGCTGAATTAGATGATTGCATTGCGCATCGAGATATGGAGCAAGCGGTTTCTTAGATCATTCTTTGATACATCATTTTCATTTCTGATTCTTACTTCATATATTGTTTCAGGTGTTGCGCTTCATTTCAAATATTAAACTATCCTCAGCATTGATCACATGTCATTTCGTAAAAATTCAGAGAAAGTCATTCACCGTAACGAAAGAGAGGAAAATGAGAAAAATGAAAGCTATTTGATTGTTGTTCATTATCGTAGCTGAATGGAATGTTTTAAATGATCAGTGAGTTGTCACATTGAAGGTGGAGTTAATTATGGAATGGAAAAGTTGTTCATCGCGTGACACGGCCATTGATGCACAACTGGCATTGCGCGAAACACACATTGTACAATTATTAAGTGATGAGGTTCGTATTTATTATTTCTAAACTGATTTTACTTGTGCACATAATCAACAACACTTTTTGAAATATTGAATTTGTGATAAAGTTCAGTTTCATGTTTCAGGTGCGTCGTCCAGGTGCACTTCATGGCGGACCTCGAGCTGTTCGTAAAGCGATCAATTTATTAACGACATTAGGACGAGCCTCACAAGCGATCGATCTTTATCTTAAGAAACGGAGCGCAGCGGTATGAAGATTGCTCATCAAGCCCAAAACATGATCTTTCGTTATGGTAACTTTGTAAACGTTTAGTTGCGATCGAGCGCACGAGAGCTAACAGTTAGTGAAGAACCACTCTCATATGTGCGACAATTGTCACAGCAGTTTTTGGGTGCAATCGCTGATGTCGCCACTGAGTTCACGATGCAACCTGAGCATTTTGCGTTGATTTTACATTGGTGTTCCGGTGAATTATCAGTCATGTTATCACTGATTCGACGGCATGTTATTGAGGTGAGATTATGTGCTTGAGGAATATTTGAGCTATTTGGTCAAGCACGCTTTTTTGATTGACAAAGTAGTGTGTCGTATCAATGAATAGATTCTTTGTGAATTTAAAGGTTGCACCAACGATGGCTGTTCTAGCCCATACATGGCGTATTCTGATGGCACACTGCGAGAGCTTGATCGCAATCGGCGCCGACTTAACGTTCGAAGTTCATCGTCTATTAGCGCCGTCATTGAAAACTGCTCTTGAAACGAATTTCGCGAATATCCTCGAGTCTATCCGACTTCGTATTTCGGTTCGTGATAAAACCTAAAACTTGCGTATTTTCTGTGTGTTTCGAGAATGAGTACACGTGAAATTCGTTATAAATTTTAATTGCTGCTATTGAAAGTCAGTGAGTATTATTGATGGGCGACCATCATCACGTGAATTGCTGTTCGAGTGATCGAATATTTCAGTGGTGAAATCAATTAATACGCTAATCAATTGCAGGAAGAGCGTTGGCGAGTATACAATATGGAAAGTGAATCGAATGTTAATCGTTTTTTAGAGGAGATGTCCGATATGGGATTGTGCATTGATTGGGCACTCTCACCGCAGCATCATTCTAGCATATACATCACTCAGAACGCGTGTCATTTCTCACGTGTTGCACACTCGCTGTGTCGTGATCTTGCCGTGCTTAGGTAGTATGTATTTGTTTAGCATTCTTCGAATATATCGTATTCATATTTCAAGTCAGTATCAATCAATGAAAATTGTGCTACGATCGTATCATAACCGATTACGTGTGGTCTTGCAAGAATTTGGGACATTATAAGGATATTGAGTCAACTCGAGATATTATTGCGATCAGTTTTGCACTCATTATTTATCTTAATGTATGAACTCAGTTTTGGTTATGAACTTCAGAATTTGCATTTAACATGTGAATCTTAACACTGATGATTGTTATTCAGAACATTTATGCGGTATTTTCAGATCATCTCATCTCCGTGCTCTTACGGATTCGTTTATGATTCAGTTATGGAAAGAATATTTGGAACATTTAAGAAATGCACCGAGTTCCTCTATTCAACAGTATACGTCAACTTTCGTAATATCTCAGGTGGCCGTTCTTCATTCGATTAGTTCTTCAACTTGACGCTGAATCGTTGCGATTATTGCTTCATGTTTTATGACTCGTTTCATTATTCAGCTTACCTATAGCTCATAAAATACCACAATTTCATACTGGCGGCAGGCTAAAGTTTTTTTATGAAGTGGAAGCCTTAATGGGAAAATGACTGCTACAAGTGATACTGCAATTTATTTATTGAGTAATAAATTGATGAATGGTATGATAGGATATTTAGAATGTGCAATAGTGAAGCATTTTCATATTCAGTAAAGTATTGTTGAAAATAGACGACAGCAATACAAAAATGGTTGATTTGATGAGAATCAGCTTTGCATGAAGAAAGTCTGGTTTTTGAAGTTGTTTAGTTTTGAAATTGCGAATGAAATATTGCATGAGTTTACTGCAAATTGTTGCAGCTTTTACCGTTATGTGATAACATCTATGATGGTTCAACATGCGGATTATTATCGCATTTGTTAAGAACGGATTTTGAAGAGTTATTGCGATACCATACAGAAGAGGATACACAGGATGGACCGTCCACATCTGATGAAGAAATTGCTCAAGTGTGATTATATTGTTGATTTTTGTGCTTTTTTGCCTCATTAATAAATACACATAAAATTTAGTGCATCGTTGTTTTCAAATAAAATTTCCGTAATTTTCACATTCCAGCAAATCATTACCATAGTTGAATGAAATAAGTTTCTTTAATGTATACATATATACAGTGATCAGCACAAGATAATCAACAACAATAGAACGGTGACATCTCATTCATGACGATCATGAATTTTTAGAATATGAGCAGTTATAAGGGTTCAATTCCAATGCATGATTCCCGAGAAGTAAGCCAAAAACCGACGTTTTTATTGACAAATAAATTGTGGCCGGGTTCCCTTCAAACGATTTGCTCGCAGCAAACGAAAACACACATACGACGTTGGTTTGATTCGATGCACCTTCATTGGTTAAATATGAAATGATAGATACCGATCACTGATTGCTCGACAGTGATCAGTTGATCGATATCTGTAGGACATCTAGTATGTGATTGTAGCACTGATGATCATTTAGTGAAGTCTGCATACACTGCACACATACTTATAAAAAGACGACAAAGTGCTGAATTAACGATTTCCGGAGCCTGCTTTGTATAGTCTAACATGTATAATCCGGAGCATATATCGCAGAAACCTTTTCACTATAATTAATCGATGAATGAAATGAAATTTAAGAAAAATTGCGTTTGAAACGATCGACGCAACCAATACGCATGAAATAGTTTGAGCCCAAAATTCACAGTCAGTGTTATAGTTCCATCAAATTGAAACAGAATCACACACATTTTGCACGTAGTCACATGCATGATAATCGGAAGGCGTCCTTTCAATAGGCCCTTTATGGAAAAGCAAAAATAGTGTTGTTGCGAACCCAGCAAGAAAATGGTATTATAATTTGATAGGGCAGCAGAAATGGACAATCATCTTCGTGCTTCGACTAGTGAAACCTTCATGGAAGCTTCTAGATGGAGTCGCAGGATTCTGCAACAATGTGAAGAATGTTTCTTCAACAGCCAACGTTTTGAGTACCCATAAAGTACTGCATAACGTATTTTTCGTTCAGTAAATATTTATTTGATACAAGAAACAGAACAATATTATTGTGCTGGTAGATATTTAATACAATGAACGAAACGAGATTTGTTAGAAGCCAATCTTGGTTAATGATGATTTCAATAGAGTGAACAGATTAGTAGTAGAATGCGAGTTCGGCACAAAATATTAAAGGTCACTCGTGGGCTAACAATACCAAGGATTAAAATGATTATGAATAAGTAGAAGTTAGGCTTCAGTCTCTCCGACTATTCGAGTCCTCTTCTGTCGATTCGACTGCCTTCTTTTATGGCCATTGTTTCATCTTCCATTCTCACGCTCTTAAAAGATCATATTTGTAGATAACATCTTCAAATACAATTTCTCAGCTTTCATACAGTGCCTTTGTTTTGGCTATTAGCATGCATTTTATCTGAATATGCAACAAAGACGTTGCATTTCCCATACATTCATCTTTTTGTTTTGATTTAAGCCATTTCATCGCAATGGTGTTTTGAGAATTATAAAAGTACAATGTTCACAGTTCTATATAGTTTCAGTTTCTGATTTCGGAAATCGCATTGATGAACTGTTTATTTACGAGAAGACTTGCGTTTGGTTTAAAGATTCATATAATCATATTACCCTCCAAATTGTTTATCATCACATTCTTCAGCAAATCTCAATGATACTGACTATCATCAGTTATTAGTCTACTCATAAATAAGGAGAAGACTTGTAGGTTCCAGGAGCGATAAGAAAAGAGCGATTTGATGTGAATATATGTAAATGTAAATTGAATTAAATGAAACTTCAATCGATTGTATGTGATAAAAATTGAAACAATAAAGTGATGCTGACTGGTGGTGTAGTGGAGCTGTGCGTAATGCGTCGGTTGTTTTCGGAACAGTGACAATCGGGAAGAAAATTGTAACTGAGTGTTTGAAACTGATCCACTCACTATGACTGGTAGCTGGTAATGGTATCCGACCGATGGTCGGTCGAAAAAATCCGATAATTTCGGTTGGAATTCTGACACTAGGATTTTGACCGAATAATTTGGAAGGTAGGTTGGAATTCCGACTTTCGAAACATAAAATGTTAATTCGATCGGATTCCAAAGGAACAGTTCTGACAGTTGGTCGAAAGTCCGACAGTCGGAATGATGAAATTTCATGTCGATTGGATTCCGATCGACATGAAGTCCCACTCGGATGCCATCACTTATATGAGATAAGAAGATTGGCCAGTTTGTGTCAGACGTGTCATGAATAATCGTATTATTATGAGTAATGTCGTTTTACTCATTAATAACGTGACACAAATGCCGGTTTACATTGAGAACTGGAACATTAAGAGCACCAAAAACGGTCAGTGATGATGCTGACCATATCTGATGATTGAGGCTGATTGATACTGATATTACTAGATCTGCGTGTAACTTTTCGTGCATAACTTCATCCCAAAAGTTAAAATCTCAATTTGACATACATTATTCTTTATGAGATGAGCATATAGTTGAGAATATCTGAGGAAACAGATCACCTGAAAATGATCTTATTAGTGCCCATAGTTAACATCAGTCAGATGGAAATACGATTATTATATGATGCTTTATCTCGGATGTTTGAATTTTCATACAAGTATAGAATGTATTCTGCTTGTTCGCCGATTTGTGGGCGTTGGAATGGCCTCTGAAGAGGGATATCTATTTCACCTGTTTGCCTTTCGATCGATGCTCTATAATTCTGACCTGTTTCGTTTCGAATCTCAATGTTCGTTGAAAGCTTAGATGATTCTGTCGATTCTTTGTTCCCGGTCAAATAATTCCACAGTTTGAAATCTCATTACCTGAAGCAATTTTTTTCGATTTCCTGCCTCGTACGAATTTTAATTTGTTGCAGTCAGAACTCGTACACAGAACCTGGTTTGATCAGGTCATCAGGTGAAGTATTTGCTGAGTTGAAGATGAATACTCGATCGATTTAAGCATAATTTGGCTTTTCAAGTCGTCGAATACTTTTTAAGTGAACAAGTGTTTTATTTGATAGTCTCGCAGAAGTTCTACGGCGGTTCGAAAAAGACGATCCGGAAGTGTGCATAAAACAAGGCTGACATAATCTTCAATATTCCATTTGTCTCTGATTCATCTGTTATTAATGGGTTCTTTATAATCTTGATGAACATTTACTATCCTAAAATTCTGCTTGTTTTATCAGGTTTTATTGATAACTTTGATGTTTTTATGATTTCGAAATTGCGTAAGTTGAAGATAGAATAATTGTCGCGACGGAGCGCGAAAGAGACGATTCGTGAGGGACACCAAAGTGATACATGAATTCAACCCTTAAATCTGTACGTTAG